CAAAGAATGCATATTAACATGGAGAACTGCGTGATGTAATACCCCGAGAGTTCTTCTCGCCCGCGACGTCGATACTGGTGCTGTCACTAAACGAAGTAATATCAAGGCTGACCCCAGAGAAACAGGGTGTGAAAGCCCTGGATTCAAGTAGAGCACAATGAATACGCAAATGAACCTTCTGTTTTCTTGAATGTAAGATCGAATGGTCATCACCTATTAAAGTAAACCTAACACCAGTAGCATGGAGGTATTTATAGAACATAGATAACACTGAAACTTGATTACTGTTACTCTAGCAATAACAAACGCCTCAAAGGGACTCCGCAGTCCACATAGGCATTTATGTTTATTGTTTACTCTAAAATTATATTCTTAAAAATTGTAATGTCAAAGATACATTCTGTGCTTTTCCGCATCTATAAGACATCCCATTTCAGTGAGAGGATCACATGACAATTGTCCATGCTTTTTAATCCACGCTACACAGATTTCTGTTAAATGCGTTTGTTCATCTAGTGTCTGGTAGAAGCATTCACTTGATGTCAGCGAAGATACTTTGTCACTGAGTACTGTCTGGGGGTGAGGGCTATTGACTGACAATCTGTTTGTTGGAGTGCATGATATCTCCTAGGAAATGCGACAATTGCCGACCGCGTGGCGTCCTTTTATGAGCAGTTGCTGTTCATTTGGAAGTCAACTGCGTTCACACGCGGTGCACTCGATCGTGGAACGCATGGCCTCCCTCTAGCGTTCAATTGATGAACTGCAGCGTTAAATAAAACACGTGGCTACACAAAGCATCACTTAGCGGACAGACGGACGGTGTCAAGCATCCGTACTTTCTCTGGTACTTGGATGGTCTTGAACTGAAACCCGGGGACAGCTTTCCATCAGTCACTTCCAGTGTCGGGATTGTGTTGTAAGCTCGAATGTTGGAAGCTTAACGTAATCCGCACACAAATAGGTTGTAGTGTTCTGTTCTCGGCCTCGTAGGCCTGTTTGTCAATAAATCAGAATCTTATGTTTTCAGGTTTGGTTAATAATTTTGAAAAGAACTAATTTAATTAAAATCTCGCAGTGTTTTATTTGTGGGTAATGAGCTTTGCTGTTGCAGGAGATCGAACGTGAGATTTTAATGGGGGAACGGACTGGTCCTTAGAAATATTTCTTAACCCGTTCATTGACTGAGTTTCCTTTCCTTGGAATATCGTAGTGTAATGGGTATCAGTATTGTTCCGCAGCCAGAAGGCTCTGAGCTTGTTTTCAGCCCGGAGGCTGGCTGGTATTGTTTACTGAGATTTTAGATTTGAGTCCCTTCAGGCAAATGCTGAGATTACCGAATAGGTTACATCACTACCGCTTCCTTCCGCATCCCACACGATTCATCTTTTCATAGTCATTCTCCCATGTACAGTGTCGTAACATGAATGAAGAAATAAAATTGCCAGTCGTAAACATTAATCAACTCATGGATCGAGTAACAGAGGAGTGAATCGCGATAAAGAATGTTCCGAACCACCGTTACCCCGAAGTATCGATAGGGGTGGGCAGACGGGGTGTCGTGTATCACTTCCCAGCGGTGGGGGGTCGACCCATAACTAGGGTTGCCACGCTACCCGAAAACACAACCCCTGCGTGGAGACAATCTGACTTTTGTTACAGATACATAACAGCTTGTTAGGAGTGAAGAGTGTTTCATTGTTTGGGCACAGCGGGAACTATAAACAGAAGAGAATCTTGGATTATCCGTACTTTAAGTACCAACAATGTTACCCATCCGAACGTAATTGTTTCTCGGAGAAAGTACTATAATGGTACGAACAAGTTATATAAAGTGTGTCGGTTTCAGTACGCATTCATAGACGCAACACTTATTACAGATAAGAAAAGTAGCTAAAATATACTACTCAGAGAAAATATACTGCGTTCTTTAAATAAATAATTTATAAGAAGAATTAATAGTAATAAATTTAAAGCACAAATAG